GTTATAGTCAGGGGACTAAAACTTAAAGTATCCTTATGCCATGCGCAAGAACCTGGAGACCTGGCTGATAGCTCTGACATAAAGCTGGGAGCCTATAGAGAAGTCAGGCCATTGCCCCAGTCCTGGGCAACATGGATCCAGGATGGGAGAACACATCTCCCAGACTGCATTCCTCACTGAAAGGGGCCTTTTTCTTCTTCTTCTACAGAGGACCCAGCCCTCTCTCTCCATGAGAGGCAGCTCTGTGGAGGTTACTGTCATTCTAGTGTTTACACATCAATTTACAGTGTTATGACTCTGTATTCACAATGGAAAAAGATAGAAACTCGGGTTGTTGTAATTAAAGCACAGAATTTCAGATTATGGCAAAATGCAGCCTGAATGGTGAAGCCTCACTAAAATCCTGAGCGCTGTTTCTTTTCAGCCCTATGATTTTCAGCCCTTTTAAGTAGATCAGCACTCAAAGCAGACACAGCAGCAGCAGCCGAGAGCAAGCTCCCTCCCTCCCACTCCTGAGCCCTGTCACATCCCCGTCCCCCCAGCTCTGCAGAGATGGGGTACAGGGGCAGGGGGACACCCTGACATCAGGAGGCTCCTGGGAGAAGCTCCAAGGCAGAGGGCAGGAGCAGCATGGCAGTGGACGGAGGGACACCTGAGGTGCGCGGCCCTTGATAACTTGCTGGGCAGCACCCAGCCGCACAGCTTAGAGGAACTTAGGTTGTAGGTAGAAATTTGAAAAAGTGAAGCAAGCATAAACTGATTCAGTGATGCCTTCGTGAATCTGCAGGGAGTCTGAAACACTATCTCTTAAGAATTGTGATTCATCTCAATCAAGCCCCTGAGGACTCTGCCATTCCATGGTCATGATATTGGTCCCGTTTCTAATATGCCATGGAATTCTTCCTTTTTATCCTGGAATTTGCCATTTTGCTAGAGTCAGGAGCCCAACATCTTGCTTTCTGTCCCCGTGCCTGTAGCTGTCTCTTGCTCTACAGGTTTCCCTGCCTAGAACCTGTCATTAGTGTCGGCTTTCCCAAGCCTCCCCAATAGCTCTTGCATGCTCCCGGAATTCCATTGATGCCGTGTCCCCTCTGAATTATTGTTTCCCCCTTCAGGGACTATGTGACAGTGAAAGCCAGGGACACACTGATTTTGCAAGGAAAATTTTAAACCAATCACATCTTTCTCACAGACAAAGCACAAGAGATATACAGATCTTCAGAAAAATAGCAAAAACCTGCATGTAAAACCCTCCCTCCAGTACCTCATCACTCTGCAAGCCCTTTGCGTTTTGGTCAGTCCTTTTATGGTCCCAGGACCCTCTTCTCCCCTGGCACATCTTTACCTTCTTATTCTGGTCTCTTCTAAAATGGCTGGTGAGAGAGCCTTCCTTTTAGAAAGTTCCAGTTCTTTTTGTCTGGTGACCTCCTGAGTGTGGTCTTAAATCCCTCATCAGGTGATCCATTGCTTGGTTACAGTCTCACCTGGGAGAGTTGGTTCCTCTGGGCGGCAGCCAGCTCCTTGTCCTACTTGTTTCCATTTGAATGGAAGGCCCTCCAGATGGACTCTTGATTGCTCTCTTTTGTTAGCCCTCTTCTAATAGTTCCAATACAAGATGGAGGTTAAAAGGCCACAATGAAGAATGGTATTCACAAAACAAAAATGGGGTTTGTAGTTCAAGGTAGATCTATACAGACATACACTATTAAAAGGAGCGAGCACTGTGCCTTTTGGAGGCCAATGGCCCATTTTTACAAAAGAAACCCATTGCATTCTTCCAAACGAAAGCTTCTGGGTTTACAAAATCAGAACACTGTTTTATTAAATAACAATACTATAAATATGAAAGCCCTCTGAGCATCATACTTGGTGTCACAGCAAACAGCAAAAGCTGCCAAGCCACATATAGTTAGGGGAACTGATTGTGCCCTGTGTCTTGGATGTCATTAGTGTTATGCTGGGATCTGCTGCTGCCAGTCAAATCAAAGCAAACTCATTCCCCTCTCAAATGATGCAGTCAGGTGACAAATTCATGGCATGACTGCAGATGTTCAGAAACAGCTATTTAGAGGGGTTCAGAAGTCAGTGCCTGTCAGTACAAAGGGATGAAACTACAGATATCTTCTGCCCAACTTTCAACATTTGAGTTGTATGACCAGAAATGATCTATACATGAGGACTTCCTGTTTTGCTGTCCACTGACAAAACATACTTTTTGTTCATCAGTTAATTTTCAAAAAAATTAATTGACAGCTACTGGCTGTTGGTAACTATATTGTATTTGTGAAGACTGTAATGGGTATGAAAGTGATCTTAGTCCCATGATCCAAATCCCACAATCTTTTGAATTTGTAAAGGATTATGGCATGTGACAGATCACAAGATGATTTTTTGTTTTATGAGTCACAGGCTAAAAAAAAGTTTGAAAACAACTATGTCAGATGACTCAAAGGGAAAGGGACCACACAATTTCAATCTGTTTTTCCCTCTGTCAATAAATCTTGGTTTGAATTAGACTATCTGAGTCCTAGAATGTTTTGGGGTAGGGTTACATCAGTATGCCCTTGAAGGGAAAACAGCTTTCTAACCTCACAGGAGAGTGAGTCAGCAAGGGAGACATTGGTACTTACACATTTAAGCAGCAGTTTTCATCCATACAGCTCAAACATTGCACTAGTTTAGTAAAAATGTAATAATTGTTAACAGTTTAGGGCCTGATTTTCCAAAATATCAGAAGCCAGGACTATATGCAAAAATACATAAACTCCTGAGCACCTAATTGGCTCTAACATTTACCAGGATTCAGTGTACCAATCGGGTGTTTGCATGTGCAGATAAACAGTTCAGTGGATTCAGGGAGAAAGAATGTCACTGTGAGATTCTATATAATAGCACCTGCTACAGCAGAACTACCATGCATCGCTTTTCCACCCCCGGTTTTTCTTTTGTTGATTTTAATTATCACCATTCACTTCCTCTCCTGATGAAGGGGGACGTGGGTTGCCTTTGCAGTCCTGCTAGTGAGATGCCAGAATCTATCGGTCATTTAAAATGCCAAACTAAGAGTGACCCACAGACAGCTAAAGGTATAGAACAATGAGTAGTTGGGGGACATAAGCTGAAACACAAAAAGGGAGGATTTCTATTATGCAAACTTGGCTTTTGCAGTTTGATTGATGCTGAAGGATGGGTCTGAGTAGTAATGAAATATTTAAAATATAGGATGGTTTCATCCTGTATTTTAGATGCCATAATTGGACTGAGTGGATTATAAACATTTTAAATTATTTTGCAAGGACCTTTTTAAGTAGTTCAAGTCTGGGGCCAGTAGCGCACGTTGATATGCTGCTACAAGTAGCAAAATGGACTGGGATGCCACGTCCTTAAATAACAAGGACAGGGAAGATTGCTTCTAGCTAATTGGATGGGGGAAAGATCAGATTTTTTTTTCAATTAAACCCTTAAACTGGAATATCCAAGGTAGGAATAACAGGCGTTGGGCTCTGCATTCTACTCCAGTGGACCTGGGTGTCATTGGCTTAGAGTTGATAGTAAAAACTTGTTTGGGGGGAATGGGCTCCGGAGTGTGTATAGAACAAAGGAAAGGAAGAAAAACAAACTCTGTGAAAGACAGAGAAAGTCGGGGAGGATCGGGATCTGTCAAATGAGAGTAATGAGGGAGGTAGGAGGGAAAACCAGAAGAGGCCACAGTCATAGATGACCAGAGAGGAGAGAGAAATGTAAGGGGGAGAGAGATTATCAGTGTTGAAAGCAGCAGGAAAATCAAGTAAAATAACAAGACAAAAGTGCCCTTTGACTTAGCCGGGAAGGGCAAGTTGGTGAAACACAGAGGGGAAAACCAGGTTAGAGGGAATCAGAGAGAGAGTTGGTTGAGAAGCCAAGGCAATGTGAGCAGACAGCATGCCCAAGGCTTCTGGAGACACAGGAGAGGAGAGAGAAGATGGTCATTTTGAGGGTCATGCAGGCATCAGATATTTCCCCCCAAAATCAGAGAAGCAGATTAGGATGTAAGGGAAGTTTTGATCAAGGTAGGGCAAATAGTTTGCTTGTAGGAGAGAGAGGAGCCAGAGGAAAGAGAGCAGTTGAGGACAATGAAGAGGGGAACAGGCCAAAGGATTGTGAGATGGGATGGCTTTCCTTGAAACCGTGTTTTCTCTTCTTCTCCTGTAGGTGGTGGGTGGAGTTTTTCCTTTTCAGGGTCTTGCAAGACATCAGCTGCTGTCCCTCATGTCAACAATCAAGACGCAGATTACAGATGCATTTATACAAATGGCTGCTTATTAAAGAAAGAGTAGAAACAGAGAAAACTAAAGAACTACATCTGAGCTTTACTTGTCTAGCTGTGGCTACAGGAAGTTGGCCCTTATATAGTGAAGCCAAGCTCATTGTTCTTTCCACAGGGACCCCTTTTAATGTTTAAGGATGCTACCCCACAACCCTTAAGAGTTTGGTGGAAGGGGGTAATTCATTCCCTAAGCGGTGCCTAAATAAGATGAGATGGGCCAGGCTTGGTGGACCTGAAGTTACAGGAAAGTATGAAATGCAATTAACTAAAAGCTAGTAGCTACGTAAATGGAAAAAAAAAAAAAACAAGCCCCAACACAGAAATAATTATGGTTTAAAGTTCAGAAATAGAATGTCTCTCTCATTTTACTTCTAATCACCACAATTCCCATAGCGAAGATACAGAAGATCCCAAATTTTCCCCAAAATTGTGCCCAAACATGCGTCTGTACAGATAAGCACTGGGCCCAGAAAACATGAAGCAAAACTTTAATTATGACTTCTGGACCTGTGCAGTCCTGGCGTCTGAGAAACTTCAGGGAATTGTGTCCCAGATTCAGGATACTCATCAGCAGTACTCCACTTTCAGCTGAAAGTCTCTAGGATTCAGTGCAGAAATGGTATCTTGGATTCAGAGAATTCTAGGCTTGGAGAGAATTTGAACTAAATACTGCTTTCTTAATTTGATCCCTCAGGTTACAGAATAATCTGCAGGAGTTTAGCTGCTGTCAGACATCTGTGTTCCTGGCCATCCTGCATTGCTGAATACATGACCCTGAAAATGCAACTAATTTCTACCAAATCTTTAATGAATTCTGCAGCAAGGTAAAATCAGGGGAATACCTGATATTTTGATTGTTTGTTTTAGCATCCTAAATTACATGTTAAAAACCTTTCATTTCAAATGTTTACTTTTGAGTTTTGTTCCAAATCCTTTTGCCTAAAGAAAATCAAATGAAATTAACTGTGGCAAGGAACAAATGTCGGTCAGCCAGAAAATTACTTCCAAATTAGGTTGGTATAAACTATCCTTGGAATAGAAAGGGAGGATGAACGCTCCAAATCTGCTTGTGGCCCAATCATTTGTACCTTTTATCAATTAGGAAATCTCACAAGGAAACCTGAAATCAGCATGCAGGAAATAGTTTTTATTATTCATCAATGTGAAGGGTCAATTTTGGGGAAAATTTCTCCCATCTATAAGTGTAAATGAGTCCCTCTGTAAATCTCTCTCCATTGCAATTTCTGTCAATATTTCTGTAAATATCTTATATCCCCAAACAAAATCAGAGCCAGGTGAATATTCTCATTTTCAACTGATCAGCTTTTAATGTCAGGCAAGTTTTAGAGATCAGAATATTGCTGTTTGAAAGTGAACCCCAGTAGGACTGGGAAGTTGATATACATTGGGCTGGGAAGTGCAGAGAGGTCTTGTTCTATGGCTGCAATGGAATTGCTTCTTTGTACTGTATCCAATATTGAGTGAAGGTAAATTGAATTCTCTCTCTGACCAGTCTCTGCTAACTACAGCCATCTTTCCTAGAAATGTATTAGAGGAAATTGTTTAGGCTGTCCTCTGGAAGGTTCCTTTCTGTGATCATGGTGGAAGCAGGGTATAGAAGGAACCGGGAAAGTTATTTTTACCTTTCCAGAGTCTGGAAGTTGTTTCCAGGAGTAGGCAATACTGTATGTAGACTATTGTGGCAGAAACTGTCTTTTTGTTGTACATGTATACAGTACCTAGCAGAATGGGGTCTTGATCCCTGACTGAAACCTTTAGGAACTACTGCAGTACAAATGCATAATTATTCTAGTTATGAATTACAATGACATTCAAGGGGGTTTTTTTGGTCACAACCGAAATTCAAAATCACTTGGCACCCTATATGTGTAATACAGTAAATATGGGGAGCCAGTATCATATTTTACTGAAGTCACTCTTCAGGAGAGTAATAAGAACAGGTTTTTAAATAGCTATCTTGCAGTTTGCTGGCTAGGTATGTGTTGTGAATCTGTGTATGTGATTGCTTGTGTATATGTATTTGCATAATCACAACACGGTAATGTGTACTATACGATGCGCAATGGAAAAAGCAGAATACCATTGCTGCTAGTACTGCTAAGTGAAAAGAGGTGGCAAATGCAAGAGGTGGGGCTTTGAGTGGGTTGTAAAGTCCCCCCTCTTCCTTGTCAGTGAGGATAAAACGGGCTTTTCATTACTCATTGTCATGTTTATTCCACTGTAATTTTTGAATTAGTAACCGTGGCTTTGTCTTCACTGCAAAAAGGTGTGCTTTTACACTGAGATAGCTATAGTGGAGACGCAGCATATGGGTAGTTTTTTACCTTGCTGTAGGTAGTCAAGATTAATCCTATACTCACCACCTGAGGTTGACCTCGACTAGAGCTACTTAAAGGTAAAAATTAGCTATGCCTCATCTCTGCTAGGATTTTACATTGAGAGAGCTATTTTAATGTACAAAATGAACCTTTCAGTGAACACAAACCCAGTAATGATGTATGTCTAGGGCTCTTAAATGCTTGCTTGGGTTTGCTGCAGTTTCAGCTGTTTCCATTTCTCTGCCTCACTAACTCTGTTTCAGGGCAAGTTTATACTACAAAATTAGGTTGACCTAAGTTAGGTCAACATACAGTCACCGCAGATAATTGAATCTGTTTTAAACGTCCACACTATGCTCCTTGTGTCAGCAGTGCGCGTTCTCACCAGGAGTGCTTGCACCGATTTAACTGTCAATATGGAGCATTGTGGGACAGCTTCTGAAAGGCAGCCATACTGTAATATGGAGAGATTTGACCCTCTGACTCAGGTTCCATTTCATGAGTATGTTCAGCTTACATTGGTTCCTCTTGCTCTAAAAGCATATCCAGGATGATTGGAGGGGACCGATCTCTACTCTTGTGTCTTGCAGACGGATCTGGGACTTCAGGATCTGACACTTGAAAATTTCTGGCTTAGTAGGCGGAGAAGGTTTCCTTACATAAAAAGGGGGTGAGGCTCTGGAAAATGTCCAGAGGGAGGGCCAGTATGGCCATCTTACCCACGGCAGAATCTGACACTCTGGCCACAATTCCATATTAGGTTCCGAATGATAAAATGTCATATGATAAGAGTCCTCCTCATATGGTTGTCTGGCAGTGTGGTTTTCTTTTTGCTGTGTAATTTGTTCATGTTCAGAGTCAGATTGCAGATCTGATCTCCGTTTCAGTCCTGATAAGCCTGGGTGGTATCAATGCCTACATGGTTCTCTACATGCCCAAGCAGAGTGTCTCATATTTACACTACTATTTTTAGCAATGTAGTGTCCTGCTGCCTCACTGCTACCAGAGCCTTTCCCCAATGCAGTAAAAGGCTCTGGCAGCAGGAAAAAGCTCCAGCAGTGCAGAACTGCCAGAGCCTTTCCCTGCCACAGTGAAAGACTTCAGCAGTGGGGAAAGGCTCCAACCGCTCCCATCTGCCTACTTGCTGCCAGACCCTTTCACTGACATGTGTAGCTGCATGGTGTAGTGGGGACGCAGCCTGCTTTTCACTCTGGTGTGTAGCTACACATACCATACATGCTACCACCAGCATAGACAAGGCCTTAGATTAGTTTTTATTGGTTACTGGCATCCTTTTGTCTGCAAGAGATGGTGGGAATTGCAACCTATGATGTAGATGGTTTGCAATGTCTCATGTGACTGAATAGGCCAATCCAAGATTTGCGTGATCTTTGGCATTTATTGCAAATGTATGTGTCTTGGTTGAGAGCTGCTTGCTGTCTATGGGCATGTTTGTCCATGTTTCCCCACCATATGTGAGAGTGCTGAGGATGCAAGCTTGGTACACTAGAATTTTGGTCTTGATGGTAAGCTTTGAGTTGTTCCATGCTCTTTTAGTTAGTCTGCTAAAGGTGGTGGCAGCCTTTCCAATGCAAACATTTAGTTCTTCATCCAGTGAGAGGTTGATGGTCACTGGAAATGGCCCACTTTGATTATCATACACATTGTAAGGAGAGTAATCACTTTAGATAAGCTATTAGCAGCAGGAGAGTGGGCTGGGAGGAGGTATTTTTTCATGCTTTGTGTGTATATAAAAAGATCTTCTACACTTTCCACAGTATGCATCCGATGAAGTGAGCTGTAGCTCACGAAAGCTTATGCTCAAATAAATTGGTTAGTCTCTAAGGTGCCACAAGTACTCCTTTTCTTTTTGTAGAACCTAAATAGCTGAACTTTTGGACTACTTGTAGCTGGTTTGCATTTAAGGTAATTGAAGGATCTTGTGGAAACCCCTGTCCTAATACAACCGTTTTCTTGATGCTGATGGTGAGACCAAATACCTGACAGGTACTTGAAAGGCAGTCTATGAGTTCTTGTTGTAGATTTTTATTGTGGGCTATGAGGGCAGCATCAGCAGCAAATAGAAGTTCCCTGATTAGCACCTATTTGACTTTGGTCTTTGACTTAAGTCGGGACAGGTTGAAGAGTTTCCCATCTGATCTTGTGTGGAGATATACTCCATCTTTCATGTCCTTAAATGCACAGTTCAAGAGTACTGGGGCAAGAACACATCCTTGCTTCACTCCGCTTTCATCTCACAGGTGTCTGAAGTGGACCCGTCAAACTGGACAATTGCTCTCACGTTGTTGTGGAATGAACCTATAAGACTTAACAGGGTTGGTGGACATCCTAGTATTGCAAATAGACCTGCTCTGCTGACTGTGTCAAAGGCTTTGGTTAGGTCCACAAAGGCCATGCACTTTTAACTTGGAGTTGACGCAGAGAAAAATATCATGTCTATAGTTGATCTTCCAACACTATGATTCAGGGTAGATACGATTTGCCAGCTGTTGTAGGCACATTAAGATAACTTTTGAGAAAGCTTTTCCCACTATGCGTAGTAGCGAGATACCCCTGTACCTGTTGCAGTCACCCTTATCGCCTTTATTTTTATACAAAGTGACGTTGCATTGCACATCTCTTGTGGTACCTCACCGTCTTTCCAGCAGTTAAGTAGCAGCTGATGAAGATATGGTAATATGCAGCCTTTCCCACACTTGTGGATTTCCGCTGGGATGCCATCTTTTCCAGGAGCCTTGAAAAACATTGATAGCAAATCAATGGCCTTGCTTAGCTCTTCTACAGTGGGCGCCACATCTAGCTTGGGGCTCCTAGATTTATTATCAGCCACAGCTGAAGGACCCAGTCTGTCCTGTGTGGATGTCATTGGCAAAAACACTGAGTGAATTTGCTCATCCACCTTTTGATGGCATTTCCTCCATCAAGGGTTCCACTACCTTCCTCAGGCGCTCAGCAGCCCAAAGCCGTTGGCGCTTCCTGAGGTTTCTGGGTTAATTAACCACCGCCCAGCACCCTGTGTTGACCAGTACAGGTTGTACCGCTTACAGTCATAGCGGTAGCAGGTTTTCAATTCTGACCTGACCAGAAGATTAGTTTTTAAACATAATTTAGTGTACATAGTTTTTAGATTGTGCTGATCTTCAATTCTGGGATCTTGCATCAGAAAATTCAGATGACAGGATTTAAAAGACGTCTCCTGCCCTTTGGCCTTCCCGACGTTGGATGTGCATACAAGATGCCTGGCATGCCTAGAAGAGGGACCACACTCCATCAAATGCTCCATATGCTCCACTTTTACTTGGAGAGCACATAAGGAGTAGCAGAACAGATTACAGGCTAGACTGCTCCAAGAGGCATTAGCAGCTAAGCCATCCAGATCCAATCCTTCACTTGAATCTGAGACACTTCACAGACCTTCTTCAGCCCCTAATACATCAGGGGATAAGAAGCAACAGAAGTCGCTA